AGTATCTTTCCTATCTTTTCCTTTGAAAACTGTAAGAAGGAATTCCCACTCTGTCAATGTTCTAAATTCTTCTCAGAACCCCCATTATACTATTGTCTATCACAGTGGTTTAAATGAGAATGTCCCCAACAGCCTAATAGATTTGAATGCTTAGCCACCAGAGAGTGTCTCTGTTATGAAAGGCTTAGGAGGTATGGCCTTGTTGGAGGAAGTGTGTCACTGGGGGTGAGCTTTGAGGCTTTTGAAAGCCCAAGCCAGGCCTTGTGGCTCTCTGTTCCTACTGCCTACAGATCCCAGTGTAGAATTTCAAGCTACTTCTCCAGCAACATGTCTTGTCTGCCTGTGCGCCATCAAGGTTCCATGCCATGAAAATGGATTAAATCTCTGAAATTGTAAGCAAGCCCTAACCAAATGCTTTCTTTTATGAGTTTCTGTGGTCATGGAATCACTTCACAGCAATAGAATACTGACTAAGACATCTATCTCTGTCTATGATCCTAATAACTCTTAACAAATCTCTTGCCAAATAGGCTAGTCCTACTTGGTATCCCCCTTGAACATCACATCTGAAAACTTTCTACCATTATATTATGTCTGAAACTTAGAGGAAGTACTGATGAATCATAGCTAAAATGAAACTGAAGAGGGGTAGAAATACAGCTCTGTAGGTAAAGGTGCTTGTCTGCAAGTCTGGTGACCTTAGTTTGGTCATCAAAGCCCACGTGGTAGAAGGAAAGAATTGACTTTTCCATATGGATAAAGAAAAGAATTAATTTACAAGTTGTCCTCTCACCTCAATATATGACACAGTATATCAATCTTCAAGCTGCACATACACCTACACACAATTCAAAACTTAAAAAAAATAACTGAGCAGGATTGATATAAATAGAATAATGAAGAATAGTATGCATTTGAGAGAACTGAACAGATTGCATAAAAGCTACCTGGCTTTTCAATTCCATTTTTACTAAGCAAATATCCATTCAACCTAAAATTATCTAAGGTTTACGTTTGACATAGTTCCCAAATCACTAGTGGTTATATGATACCATTTGTGGAAATATGTAAATATTGTATAAATATAGATCTACAAGCCAAGCATATTTATTTGTAATAAGAGTCCCAATATAGTTAATAATTCTGTGAAAGTGCCTTCATTTTTTTCTACAAGCTTTAACTTTCACCAGTGACATTGATATGTATTTCAATATATGCATTCAATAATTAGGGGCATTTCATATTTGTAAATTCAAAGTTAACTGTATAATATGTATTCCAAGATAGCAGGCCAAAGAGACTATTTTTCCTAATTGACATTGAAAGAAATGATTAGCATGCTGCAGTACTTGTCTAACTCCTTTAGATTCATTAATTATTCAGGATTAATTCTGTGAAAATCCAGAGAATGCTTATGATGATGAGTTCTTAAGATATACAACTGTTCGAGGAGATAAGAACTGTTCATGAATTTATCATGTATTCAAATACACTATAAAGATCTTGGCTGCTATAATATGTCTTCTACTTTTATATAATTACTAACTATTGGTGGCGAATGCACATTAACATTTGCCCATTAAAATCAGATTACAATTTTCTGAATTATTAAGATTTATTAACCTTGGACAAGGTTATATATAAACTACTTAGAGCCTTGTATTCGTGAATATATTTTATACACATTTGCCTCTTTCATATGAAATGCCTTATCTGAATATGCTAACAAGACTTATATGCCAGCTCTATACCAGTTAGAACACGGACAGTTCAAGATACAGTCATCAAACTAGGTATTTAGGAAGTATACTGTCTGGCAAGAGAAACTATTAAACAAACATCAATAAGGAATTGTGGTAATTACTACAAAAAAAAAAAAACAGGGGACTCATGGGACCACTTACATAGATGTAACCCAGCATCAGAAAGACAAATCCTATATGCTCTTTCTCACACATTTGACCTACCTTCTAATTTTCATATGTTTGTATTTATGTCAGAACAAGTGTATATAGAGCTTAGAAAACTAGAAGACATCAATGGGAAGAGAAAAAAAATGACTTAAATGAGTATGGAAGTGTGGAGGGAGTCGAGTCAAACTAAGAATGTATGAAAATTCCAAGGAAATATTCTACTTTCTATAGTAATTTTTTTAAAGAAAATGTTATTGTATAAAAAAGAGGCAAAGTATCCTGTCTTAGACAAGGTAGAAAAGAACACTTGCTAGATACTTAGGAGGAACAGCATTAGGAATTTCTTTGCAACATATTCTCAATGCTTTAAAGTTTATGGTGAAGCTGCTAGAACCCTGGGGTGGGAGGAGTCAGAGAAAATCCTAGAAATGTAGATCTGAGCAAACCTGGAAAAGAGAAAAACATTAGAACCGGTAGTCAAATGGGTGATTCATCACATGCATTACAACGAAGAAAGGAGCAACAAACATGGTGACATCTACTTATATAGAAAATGATAGTTAACAGAAAAAACAAAAAACAAAACACACTAGGCAGGGGGAAAGATACATACCCGAATACCCGAGTATTAACAGCTCTCAATGTTTCTGGTTACGGTGGATTATGAGCACTCTCTGACAACATATTTTGTGTATTCATGTAAATGCATGTGACTGATGAATATATATTGGTTTTGAAATAAGAATGTAAAATACATGGCGAAATTATTTTTTTTGTTTAGCCAGTCTTAATTTTTTTGAGTCACTAAAAACACAACTGAATGAGCACTAACAAACTTAGATAGATAGGAGATGGAGAGATTGCTTCAGCAGTTAAGAGCACTTGCTGCTCTTACAGAGAATAGGAATTTATTTCCCTGTACCCACATAGGGATCTGATACCCACTTCTGGCCTCTTAGGGCACACACACACACACACACACACACACACACACACACACGGGGTGGGGGAATAGAGAGAGCAGATACACATGCATATACATAAATAAAAATAAAATATTTTTTGAAAATCGTCCATATAAAGTTATTATGCAAATTTACTGGAGTATAAAGCTTACGAATACATGAAGGGTTAAAAAATCATTTGAAAATTGTATCTAACTTACTAATTTTTGAAATATGTAATGATGTTGTATGTCATATACAGAACACACTGCCACCTGTTCCAAAATATCATAAATTAAAATTGTAATCCTTAATGAAATTGTATTTGGAGATAGTGCTTTTATGAAGATAATTAATGTGAAATGAGATCATAAAGAGAGAGCTCTAAGGTGACAGGACTGTTCCCTATAAGAAAAGAAAGAGATAATGGATTTTTCAGATAGGAAATGTCACATGAATATGACCACATGCAAGCAGGAGAAAGGCCTAAGAAGACAGTCAGTGGTGGCACATGTCTTTAATCCAAACATTCAGGAAGCAGAGATAGGCGAATCTCTGTGAGTTCCAAGACCAGTGTGGTTTGCAAAGAGTCAAGACAGCAAGGCTACCCAGAGAAACCCAGCCACATAAAAAAGAAAATAGGCCTAAAAAATAACTGAACCTACTGACCTGATGTCTTAATCTTGGAAAATTCATTTCTGTTTTATTATGCCAGCCAAATAGACTTATATGCTTAGGATATTTATGTCCAACCGAATCTTCAGGTTGACCAACATGCTTTAAGTTGAAATACTTTCAGAGACTGTGTTGATATAATGAAATGGCATATGATTTTTCCCCTCTTAAGACTTGCATTTGATTGGTGAGAGGGAGGTAAACACTCTACCTTGAGCTGTGACAGTCTATTCAACAAAGGCGACTGTACTGGTTAATTTGACTAAACTACAGGAAGCTCATAAATTTGATAAAACCTTAAGGTGTTACTGGATGAGATTAGCATTACATTAACACTGGCTTTTCCTGTCTTTCAGGACACATCCATCTTCTGTCTTTGACCTCAAACAGACTAGAATTTAACATCCCTTAGATGTAGTACTCTGGCCAGTCTCCCAAGTAACACCAAAATTTTAGAGTAATGACCAGGCAACACAAGAATGAAATCTATGGCCAAGGGAAGAAAACATAGCAGAACAAGGAACCATCAGAAAACTCTCATATAGAACTGAGATTTGATCATTGTCAAAGTGCCCTTCTTTGCCTACCCACACTCACTTCAGCTGCACACAGATTCTGATGGCTCCTTGTTCTGCTATGCATCCTTGTCTTGGCCATAGATTCCATTTCTGTTGCCTAAATAAGGTACATCCATCCTGGACCTTTTATAAAGAATCATACGCTGAGCCTGGGAAATATAAAGACCTTTTAAAAGCAATTTAGGAGAGAGAAAGGGAGGGAGAGAGGGAGGGAGGGAGAGAGGGAGGGAGGGAGGGAGGGAGAGTTGACTCTATTAGAAAAGAACACATGCAAAAGAGAAGAAAAAAGAAAGAAAGAAGGCAGAAAGGAAGGAGAAGAGAAAAGAATAGAGAGAGGAGAGTCATTGCATTAACGCCATAACCAAATCATTTATTATTGTGTAGCACTTTCCTTCAAAATTGAAAACTTCCCTTCTTGGAGGGATCTCATTAAGACACATGATATACAGAGGGGTTAGGTAGCTAATAAGGGTTGGGGGCAAAAAGCAGATATTCCAAGAAAATGAAAATAGAATATTCTGTTATAAAGGGATAAAGGGAAAACTAGAATCGGAGGATTAAATGAAGAGGGGGATGGGAGGGCAGGGAATATGGAGAGGGATGGGTAACACTGAAGGACTTTTGAAAAGCAATATCAAAAATGTGCTACTATAGAGGCTTCCTGAAATATATACAAATATAAAAGGAATTTACATGGAGTTACCATGTAATAGAGAAGACAATGCCCCAACTTTGTGGACTGTAGGCATCAAACTTGGGTCATCAGGTTTATACAGCAAGTACTTTAGTTACTGTGCCATCTCACTGGCTTGCCTTTCTTTTTTATTGACACCAAGGTTTTATGTAAAACAGCAATGCAATTTTTAAAATTTTTAATTTTACTTTTCTCATGGGAGGGCATGAATATGGGCCCCCAGTGCCACAAATCATGCAGTCAAGTTTACAACATTTTGGGAAATCATAGGGATAAGCACATCCAGAATACAATGGATAAGCCTCACCCTGGGAAATCCACCTCTGCGGTCATAACAACCCTGCCAGGTAAGTGTACAACTCTGCGATTTTTGAAACTAGAATCTTTTGATATTTATATTTATTCTTACATGTCACATAATTTTTTATACTTGAGGAGCACCGTGCTATCTTTTGATACATATGCACATTATATAGTGATCTAATCATATTAATTAGTACACACAGCACCTCAAACATGTATACATTTTTTGCAATGATAAAATTCAATGTCTTCTTGGAATGTACATTATGGGTAGCTATAGTCATCCAACAGGCTGCTTAATGACACCACAGAACTTATTCTTCCTTTGGTCTATCCCTTCTCATCTATGCCTCTACTCTACCTTCTCTAGACTCTCATAATCTCTATTCTACTCTCTATGAAATTGGTATATTTAGGTTCTGTGCATGTGGGAGATTGTGTGCTGTTTATCTTCCTCTGCCTGGCTTATTCCCGTTTTTTAAAAAAATGTTTTCCAGTTTCATCTGCATTGCATAAAATGACATGAAGTCATCCTTTTTCCCAAAGAAAATTAAACAAGTGTCAAATGAGTATTTCCACCCCTCACGTTTACTGCAGCATTATTCACAAGTATGCAGACAAAAAAATCAACAGAAGTTTCCTGAAATTGGTTCTTCCAGAGTTTTCTTAACGGAATGGATAAACCCTGGCATCATGGCACACACCACAGAATGTCATGAGCTCATCCAAACTGTTAGTTTTGGCGATCCTAAACTACACAGTGAAATCTCATATTTGCTGAAACAACTGCTGTTTATGTACACACAGAACAGCTATGGAATAGGACTGTATTGTGTTTTGTGGGGACCTCTTGATCATATGTGATAGTGTCAATGTAAAAATTCAGAAAATAATTAATACTCATCCTCTTTATTCCTGAGAATTAACTGAATGAGAGATAGAATGAAGTTTCTCAGATACGATTCCAGAAGCAGCAGCCATGTTCTCACATGTGGAATGGGTAAATTGATGTCACGGATGCTGATGGGCTCATGGTGATTGTAAAACTCCATTGATTCCAAATCACATCACAATAATAGGAAGGAAACAAAACAAATGTGACGTAAAATGTATGTTCAGGAATTAACAGAACTCAGAAATTCCTTCCTTGGACTTAAAAAGAAATCGTGTAAGTTAGTTTAAATCTTCATGTATTTTTTTAAGAATGTGCTTCCAGTGAGTTTTCTATTGTGACTTTCTCTTTCTCGTCATTTTGTTATAGCTCATATACACACAATAAAAATCAAGTCTTTAGCATCTTAAGCACTAGAATGTATCCAAGTTTGTAAGTTATCATTGATTTATTGTATCTCTTGTCATAGCAAATATTTTCGTTTTATATAGATAAATATGTTTGATTTTTAAAAAATAACTTCTGTTCCTCTTGCCTTGCCAATCTCTTTTTGTTATCCTTTGTTTTGCCTTCAAGATTTTAATTTTTATTTGTTTACACTTAGTATGTAATCCATCTGGATTTTTTTCTTTTCTTATTTTTTTTTTTTGCTTTTATAACATGAGGTGGGATCCTAATTTTATTTTCTTCCATATGGATAGCCAGTTGTCCCAAAATCACATAATAAATATTCCATTCTTTGTCACTGAATTTGAAATACCATTTTAATATATATTAGCATATCATATTGTTGAGTTTATTTCATTTGATACATTTTAGCCTTCGATTTATTTACAATTTATTGTTGTGCAAGTGGTTCTCTAGTTGTTCAGTGTTGTTTATTGAATATTGGTGCTTTCTCCACTGGTTTAAAATGCCCTACGTATCTATTTCATTCATCTTTCAATTTGGGCCCCAGCATCTTCCCCTTTCCTTATCTGTAGTTCTAAAATATGTTGCTATGTCTGGTAGACAAGTAATATCCCTCTATTTTTTTACTTGTCTTTATTCAAAAGTAATTGGATATTCTCATATTTATTCTCTCAGATGAACTGTAAAGTATCCTGACTGCATCATATCTCCCTCAATACATACAGATATTAAGTATGTATAAAGAGATATACACATGGTGGTATGACATGCTTTTGAGAGTGCATTGTATGTATAGATACAGTTCCTGTAGCACCTTCTGTCATTTATACGTTTTTGACATTTTTTTCATTTATTAATTCATTTATTTTTTAAAAACTCTATCTTTTCTCATTTTACATACTGATCCTAGTTCCCACTCCCCCCGCTCCTCCCCTCCCCTCCATCTTTCCTCCCATTCTACCCTCAAGCCACTCCACTTCTCAGAGAGGGTAAGGTTTCCTATAGGGAGTCAACAAAGTCTAGCACACTACTTTGAGGCAGAACCAAAGCCCCCTCAAATATATTTAGGCTGAGCAAGGTATCCCCCAAAGAGAATGGGCTCCAAAAAGCCAGTAAAAGCAGTAGGGACAAATCTTGGTCTCACTGCCAGTGATCCCACAGTCTGTCCCAGCCATACAACTTTCACCCACTTTCAGAGGGCCTAGTTTGGTCCTATGCTGGTTTCCTCACTGTTCGCTTGCAGTTGGTGAGCTCCCACCCATTAGCTCAGGCAAGCTATTTCAATGGGTATCCTCATCATGGTCTTGACCTCTGTGTTCATATTGTCACTCTTCCCACTCTTCAACTGGACTGTGGGAGATCAGCCCAGTGCTCCACTGTGGGTCTCTGCCTCTGCCTTCCATCAGTTGCTGGATGAAGGTTCTATGGTGACATTTAAGACAGTCATCAATCTGACTACAGGGGAGGGTCAGTTCTGGCAGTCTCTACACTATAGCTTAGGGTCTTTTCTTAGCTGGGGTAGTCCTTGTGGATTTCTGGGAGTTTCTTTGGTGCTAGGTTGCTTGCTAGCCCCATAATGGTTCCCTCAATCAAGATATCTCTTTCCTTGCTCTCTGTCTCTGTCTTTTTCCTGTCTCAAGCATCCTGTTCCCAAAAGTTCTCCTCCCTATCCCCATCTCCCCTCCTCCTCCACTTCTGCCCTCTCTTCTCCCCAGACTGCCATGCTCCCAGTTTTCTCAGGATATCTTGTCTTTTTCCTTTTCCCAAGGGAATCTATATATATATTTCTCTTAGGGTTCTTCTTGTTACTTAGTTTCTCTGGGGTTGTGGACTATAGAATTTTTATCGTTTACTTTAAAGTTAGTATTCACTTATGAATGAGCACATACCATGCTAATCTTTATGGGTCTGTGTTACCTCACTTAGATTTTTTTTTTCCGAGTTCCATTCATTTGAATGCAAATTTCAAGATGTCATTGTTTTTTACCTTTGAGTAGTACTCCATTGTGGAAAAAAGAAAACATCTTCAACAAATGGTGTTGGCATAACTGGATGTCAACATGTAGAAGAATGTAAATAAATCCATACCTATTAAGAAACTTAAGTCCAAATTGATTAAAGAACTCAACATAAATCCAACTACACTGAACCTGATAGAAGAGAAATTGAGAAGTAGCCTTCAATGCATGGGCACAGAAGACACTACTTCCTAAATATAACAGCAGTAGCATAGACACTGAGAACAACAATAAATAAATGGGACCTCCTGAAACTGAGAAACTTCTGCAAAGCAAAGGTCACAGTCAATAAGTCAAAATGGCAGCCTACTGAATGGGAAAATATCTTCACCAGCCCCACATCAGACAGAGGATTGATCTCCAAAATATAGAGAGAACTCAAGAAATTAGACATCAAAATACCAAATAAACCAATTAAAAATGGGGTACAGACCTAAACAGAGAATTCTTAACAGAAGAATCCCAAATGGCCGAATAACACTTAAGGAAATGTTCAACATCCTTAGCCATTAGGGAAAAGCAAATCAAAATGACTCTGAGATACCATCTTACACCAGTCAGAATGGCTAAGATCAAAAATACCAATGACAGTTTATGCTGGAGAGGATGCAGAGTAAGGGGAACACTCTTTCATTGCTAGTGGGAATGCAAACTTGTACAATCAGTATGGTGGTTTCTCAGAAAATTGGGAATCAATGTACCTCAAGAACCAGCAATACCACTTTGGGGCATGTACCCAAAGGATACTCAATCATACTACAAGGACATTTGTTCAACTATGTTCATAGCAGCATTATTTGTAATAGCCAGAAACTGGAAACAACCCAGATGCCCCTTAACCGAGGAACAGATAAAGAAAAAGTTGTACATTTTTTACATTTTTAATGCCCATAATTTTGTTCATTTTAGTACTTGGTTTTCCTATGTGATCATTATGAACGTTACGGTTTGAATCTGAACAGTCTCCAACAGGCTGGGATTTTGAGGGTTTGTTCCCCACCGCTGCACCATTCTGAGAGGCCATGGAACCATTACAATGTGGGGCCTAGATGGCTACAGTGGATTCCTAGTGGCAAACTGTTGAAGGTTACTGCACACACCCAAGTTCTAGTCGTTCTCTACTGCTTGGCCTTCCAGGACATAAATATCGATTGCCCAGTGCCTGAACTGAGAATCTCCCCTGCCTTCTCAACAAATCAGGGACCCCTCTGAAACCATGATGTCTGAAACTTTTCCCCATTAAGTTGTTTCTGTAAGGTATAACTAGCATTAAAAGATGCTGATTTTATTTTTTTATTTTATTATCAAATAGTTGATGGATAAAATCAAAGAAACTGATTTTAACATATTAATATGGTGCTTTTTGTATTTTTTTTCTTGAGTTTTTTTTTTTTTAATGTCGGTGGGTATTTTGCCTGAATGTGTGTGTGTGTGCACCTCATGTATGCCAGGTGCTTGAGGAGGCCAGATCTTTGCAATTGGAGTTACAGACTTAATTGGGAGACACCATGCAGGAGCTGGGAACTGAGCTCCAGTATTCTGGAAGATTAGCAAGTGCTCTTTTCCTCCACCTCTCTCTCTCTCTCTCTCTCTCTCTCTCTCTCTCTCTCTCTCTCTTTCTCTCTCTCTCTCTCAATCTCTCTCTCTCCACATATACATACACACACACACACACACTTACACACTCACACACACACACTCCCCCCCTCACACACACACTGTAATTTTTGT